TTCCTGGAGGGCCGGAGCCCTGCAGAGTTTAGATTCAACCCTAATTAAACACACCTGATCCAGATAATCATGTCCTTCAGACTTATTTGAAAACTACAGGGTTTGTGTGTTGGAGCAGGGTTGGAGCTAAACTGTGCAGGGCTGTGGCCCTCCAGGAACTGAGTTTGACACCTGTGCTTTACACCCTTTTTGAATCATGCATAGCAGGATGAGCTTCTTTGCATTGTAATAGATTTGTTCTTTGTGTAGGAGTTCCCGCTCGCCGGTGACCCCTGCTGATGTCATCAAACCGTGCACGCGGGACAACGAACACCGGCGTGATTGACTGCTTCAGAGCTCTGCGGACGGGAGAGGAGCAACAAACACACAGCCGCTATGTCTCACTCTGGTCAAATGAGAGGTTTCACAGGTGTAGGACTCCTCTAATTGCGGTCTGGAAGATGTGTCTGAGACATTGGACGACGCACTGTAACCCCGGCTCTAGCTTCTTCGCTCAGCACGTGTTTACAGATCATCTCCACAGTCTGCTTTAACTCCGGTGACCTTCTGCAGAGATTGTTTCACATTCACTTTGGAGGACAATCCCTCCAATATTTTATTCTGCTGGACATTTGAAGTTAGCTGTATATTCAGACTCAATTTCTTTTAGGCACCACGAATTAATATATAGGCCTATCTGTGGAATTTTCAGCAATGACCAAAGTATTAAGGTCGAAGTATTTTTTTTTTAAGATTATGCCTATGGGAACATGGGATCTAACAGGAAATAAAAATTTTTTTATTTAATATGGGAAAAAAACAACAACACATTAACAGACTTAGGATATCTGGTTTAAATGCATTTGATTATTGTGTTGTCATTTTTTGAAATAAATTACAATTGATACATTTCAAATGCAGAATTTATTGGACATTCCATTAAACATGAGGAATACTGTTGGAAACAGCTGGGAGCAACGTTTTGAAATCTTCGCAAACCTACTTTCTCCTTGCAAAATACGTCTCACCTCGCCGACGTCGTAAATGTGGATCTGTCCCTCTGAGTCACCCACGGCGATCTCTCTGCCCGACTGAGACCAGCGCAGCCTGTTCAGAGCGGGACTGCCGTCCACAGACACGCTGGCAGTGGGCACCTGTACACACACACACACACACACACACAAACACACACATTCTATTTATTTTCTCCATCTGATCATAAAGACTGAGTGTCTGTGATGTTGCAAGCGATGAAATCTGATCTCTTTGTTCAGTCAGTATCTGATATATCCGCATTATATATTTTATTTGTCACAAAGAGTGTGTGTAACACATAGGAGAAGGGGATTCATTACTTCCAAGCTGATATTTGAAAGTAACTGGCTGTCAGACATGTTGAAGTACACACAGGACAAGGCTGAACACAATATACTGGCTTTCTTGTATAGCAGAAATAGCTTATAAGAACATAGATCAACAAACACACTCTGATGCGAATTTGGACTCAAAACTGTCAATGAGTAAAACATGCAAAATAAGTAGTAAAACATATAGCTTACTGTATACAGTAAATGTGACCCTGGACCACAAAAGCAGTCATAAATAGCACGGGTATATTTGTAGCAATAGCCAACAATATACAGTCATGTATAGTCATGACATAAATTCTGTGTTTTGCAAAGTTTGCTGCTTAAGCTGTTGTGGTGTTCATTCACATTGTTTCTAGATTATTGTGTAGAGTGATCAGATGCATTTTAAATAATTGCTCATGCAAGGAAATTGCTACAATTTTTATGTAATTGTTTTAAATATATTGCTCAACCCTGAAAAAAAATAAAAATTCTGGCTCTCAGTGTAGAAGTGCTGGATCAAAGTTTGATTATGAGTTCAGACCATTATTGTTAATACTAAATGTGTCACTGAATATGTGCATCATTTATTCAATAATATTTCATGTTTCACCTCTGTGTCATTGTTGAGGTTCCACAGGTCGATGCGTCCGAGTCCATCCACACAGGCGAAGAGAGCGGGATGAACCGGAGACCACATAACATCATACACATAATCAGAGTTGTCCTCAAACGAGTACAGCGGCTTGTTATTCTACAGCAGAGAGAGAAACAGTCAGCCGAGAGACTCATGAATGACAGCGTTATGGAATAAGT